ATATTTTTTTTTTTTTTTTAAATAGTGAATTTATTACACTTTTGTTATATTGCCTTAAATTGCATTACATTTCTGAAAACTAGTCAATGGTGCTGTATTAGTGCATCTAATATAACGGCTGAGCAAATTTATATATATATTTTTTTCTTTCGGAAAGTCATGTTGGGTTTTATTTCTTTTGATAATGGAAGTCATGGGAATGCAATAATTATTTGTCGTATTGTTCGTTCACCACTATAGAAGTTACTATGATGACTTGTGCTTCTAAAATTCAGAAATGTGAAAAGGGCCCACTGTTGTTTCTTAATAGATCGCTGACCCAATCAGGTCAACCTGGGCTAAAGCTGAAGATGCTGATCCTCTTTCTGTGTTGGTTTAACCATCTTCTCTCTGCTGCTTCAGAATGTCACGCTTTGTGCCACCCAAAATGCTCCCCGTACCTTCCAGCCACCTGTGGCGTGCCTACAGAGTACGCGCTGCACCTGTCCGAGGCTCTGTGTCGGGAAAAGGGAAGCACCTCTGGTCTGAAAGACGTTGGTGGACATATGAGGCTGGAAGGATGGCTGAAGCAGCCCAGGTGAGCTGTGTGCCATGAGCATGAACACCATCAGAAGAGAAGCAAGCACTAAGTGTACATGGAATTGTGGTTGTCCTCCTGCAGAAATGGGAAGCGTGGTCAGGGCTGGGAGAGGAAGTACGTGGTGCTGGATGGATGTAAAGTGATCACCTACGAGACAGAACCAAGAGACGGTCTGTGAATGTTTTTACTTTTCCCAATCTAACTACTGGGGTGCCTCAGGGCTCAGTTCTTGGACTTTTCTGTTTGCAAACAGCATATTATTACAGAGCAACTGTTCATCTCTGCTGGAAAATCTTTATTCATACTAGCTTAACCTGGTCAAGCTGGTCTTTGGATAGTGGTAGCTTGTTTTGACTAAATCTAGGTGGTTACCAGCTTTAACCATCTTGACCAGGCTGGTCTACCAAATCAAGTTGGTAGCTCCTTCTGATCAACAATCTAGACATCTTAAACCAGCTTAAGGAGGTCTGATGTTCTCCAAACCAGAGCAGCTAACAAAACACCTCTAAAACCATCAGTCCAAACCAGCCTAACAATCGGAAACCAGGTTGATGGTCAGAGATGATGCCGTCATGAT